TTCTTCTTCATCAAGCGCTCCAGGTTCAAGAATCGGCGGCTTGGAATCAAATATTTATTATTTCTGAGCTTGAATGGACAAATAAAAGAAGGGGAATGAGAGAAGGAAAAGACGAGAATAGTGCTCAGAGGGTCATTTTAGTAACTTGCGGAAATATTTATCACTTTTTAGACAAAAAAATCGCATTTGAGGCGCGTCTCATACACTCTCCGTTAAGTCCTAACGGATGGGGGTTTTATGCAACGTTTTACGAGCTACAAGAAGGTTTTTTTTGGAGTTTTAGAACAAGAGGATTTTTTTATAGCAAATTCAACAAACCACAAGGGAGTTTCATGCTATTTTGCCTGATAATATTTAATTTTTTCTCAAAAAAATTTTTTTGAAAAAATGTTAAAAAATCCTTCCCATATACTCAGTTATCACTTTTGTCATTTATTTATCTTACTAGAAAAATACTCAATTAATTTTTTATGACATATTTCAAATCAATTAAAATTTTCTACATATAGGTTAATGTATGATCAATTAGCACAAAACTTAGTAGAATTCATCATATCGAAGATGTTTGCAACCTTTGAATTACAAAACATCGCAAATGTCAGAAAAATTCATATTTTTGATTTATGATATAAAAAAATGTACATACTCTATACTTAGCATATATATACAGGTAAGATTCTATATCATTTTAAATAAAAACAAATATAAAATATACAGGTTCCGTTTGATCGTATACCTGCGCACATACAATAAATCGACGGACATGATATGAAATTCTTTGTTCAATTCATCTTTGTAACACATTGATTTAAAGTTTATATTCCAGTTTTACCGTTCGTTCATAAAACACTTGATATAACATGTATATTAAATTAGAGATGCTTTGTTTATGTATGACGTGTTTTCAATTTCTTACATACACATATATGTGGTGGCTGGTATAGTGTTGAGAATGCAATGAGTTCAACTCCATGCCGAATTTATAAAAATCATTAGATCGATTTATTTTTTAAACTTGCGGCTTAAAATGATCATATCAAGGGTAGTTTAGTATGGAGTAATAGTTGATTTTATAAATTTTTAATTAAATGAATCAATAAAATTAATTTCATGCGTTATATCTTGAAATAAAAATCAATCCAAACTATAAAAATTTAAGCGAAAGATTTATAACCAAAGTAATATGATATTAGCAACATACAAATATGCTCCCAACAAGGCAACAATATGATGTATTATTTAAAATTACACATAAATGATATGATGTGATGAATATTCAAATAATGTAATTATTGCGATAAGATGATGATATATTTTTTACCAATAAGTCATTATAAATAAAATTATTTGGAGTTTAATACTTTTTTAAAAGAATATAGTTGACTACAAAAATGTAGTCTCTACATGTGGATCTATTTTTAGGAAACTAAATCACAATTGTTTACTAATTTATCTTTTTACATAACACACCTAAAATAATATTTCTTACCATATTTTGTTATAATGATCTATATTATATTTTCAATAATTTATATACTTTTCATATAATACACTTAATTTATAAAATATTGGGACTACCTCCAACAATTAAAAAAAAAAAAAAAAAACAAACAAAAAAACAAAATCAAAACAAAAAAGAAAAAATCAAATTAAAATTAAAATTAACCTAAATTAATTTATCCTCCCGCACCGTCCACCCAGGGCACCAAATTTCCACGCCCGTTTTGCATCACCAAAAACCTTCCCGAAGTGCCATTCCAAGAAGTCGTCAGATTCGACCACCCCCGCACCATCGTCCATTGATTCAAACAGCGCCACCGTAACATTTCATTTCCGACTTGATTCATCACTCATTTGTGTCATTCGTTTTATAAAATATATTTGATATGCATACCGACCATTTTTTTTATATATAAATAAAAAGTAAAACCGACTTCCAGCAATGGCTATGAAAATCAATTCAGTTAAAGTATCCGTTGTTGTCTTACTTCATTATCATTTTTTTCTCTCTTATCCACATCATATTTATCTTAACATTCAAATTACTTTATTAATCACATTCAACATATTACATTTTCTAATTTTATAGAACCCACAATAATTTATTTATTCTATATGTTTTCATTACATAATATATATTGTCTAATAACATTTTTATATAATATTTATAATTTAATTTTTAAATATTAATTTATATAAACTTTAATATATTGAAATATATAATTTATTATTTTAAAATTTAAATTATTCGAATACATAGATAGTTTCTATTAAATTTAAAATTTTAAATAATAGTTAATTACTTTTTTTTAATTATTATTGAAGGTAATCCGTTCTTGAGAAACTGTATTTCAAAGTTAGATAATGACAAATATAGCTAGTTGAATAGTTGTTGTAGTAAAAACTGAAAAAGACAATTATAAGACCATTTTCAACCATAACTCTATTTTTGCATGACCTACTATATATTTTTCTATTTTTGCATGAGGTTTTTCTGTAATTTATCGTCAATCATATCCTTTATTTTTGCACTTTACACTAACTCATCTCTAATTACACTCTCTATTTTTGCATGTTAAAAAATATTTTATTTATATTCTATTTTATATACTTCCTCCGTCCGATTCAAAGGGACCCTATAGGGTTTTGTAGTAGATTAAGAAACAATAACATTTTATTAATTACTGAAAATATGTAAGAGGTTTTGACATTTTTTTTCTTTGACTTTATGTAAAAAATAATTGTATATGTAATGATATATTTGTAATTTAGATAAAAATTAAAGTTATTTTAGTATTTGTATATGATTACTTTTACTAAAATAATAAAAAGATACTTTGAAATGAGATTGATGAAAATAGTAAAAAATGTACTTTTAGTTTTCATAATTTTTGAAATTTATAAACAATACTAAATATTTTATTGTTTATATATTTAATTTATAAAAATATTTTAAATAATATATTAATAAATTAATTTTATAAATTTTTAATTGTTTGATTATACAAAATAATAATTTTTTTAAAATTAAATAAATTTAAATATTATTATTATTAAATAATATTTATGAAAAATATAAATAAAAATAATATATAATATCATTTGATTAAATATAATAATTTAATGTTAATAAAATTAAAATATAAATATACTAATTTATTTTATAACTAATAAAATAAAAAACACAAAAAGTAAAATAAATAAATATAATATAATTTTTAATTTTTAAAAAATAAAAAATAAAGAAAAAAATCATCTATTTCAGAGAGAATTAGAGCTGGCAAACGAATCAGGTCAGATCAGATTCGGATTCGGGTTAGCTATAAATTGGTTAGAAAACCTTTGACCTACATGCAACCTTAACCTAATCTTTTATTAATCGGGTCAACCTGACCTGTATAAGCTGTTTAATTCTGAAATTTTTAAATTTCAATTTCTCCTAACAAAATTTTCAAATGCATAGTATATAAGCAAAAACTATTTATTCATATAATTAAAACTGATTTCAAGAATCGAATTAACAAACGTTATATAATAATACACAATACAATATTTTGTTTAATCCTAATTTTGTAGAATTTTAACTTAAATTTTATTTTATTTTATTTTTATAAAGTTGGCCATGAATATTTGAATTGAATTGGTAAAATTTAAAATAATATTAATTAAACAAGTTACACGGATTATTTTCAGGTTGAAAATTTGGATCTAAATCTAACCCATTTAATTAATGGGTTAAGCGGGTTTGACCAAATTATTAATTAGATCAAAATTTCAATCTAAACTCAATTATTTCGGATCAAGTTCAGGTCCGATTATCAGGTCGAATCAATTTTTGACAGCCCGAGAGAGAATGCCCTCTATTACAAAATGAAATCTGTCTCACACTCTTAGAGGGTGACGAGAAGGTGAAAGACTAAAAATATGAAAGTAGAGTGGAGTAACCCACCGTCCTATACAGGCAAATGCTGTTAATAAATATTACTCCATCTGTTCTATAAATATAGTCTTGAGTTAGATACGAGATTTAAAAAATATTAATATTATATTGATAGTCGGTAAAAAAATAGGGATAAATGACTTTTTTGCTCTTGTGAGTATATTAGTGTAAAAGTAGTGACAATTGTGTAATAAAAATGAAAAAGTAGAAGTAATTTTACGGTGATATAGTTATTTATGGAAATAAGAATATTGTTTTGGGACAGACAAAAATGGTAAACAAGACTATTGTATTGATATGGAGGGAGTATCATGTTCTCTCCGTCCGTCCGCTTCTAAGGGTGATATTTACCTTTTGTGTAAAATTAAAAATATCCTTAGTAGTTGTGCAGTTTTTTTTTTTTTTAATTTGTACTACATAATAATTAATATTAAAGATCAACGTATAAAAAGTAAACGAGACCTTAGAGCCGAATTGTGTAGTATTATTTATCACGTATAGAACAAAAACAACAATAACAACAACAATAATAATAATAATAATAATTTTAATTTTAAGAATCCATCCAAATCTCTACAATTTTATACTATACAATATTTTTTTATAATTTTTTGATAATTTGAATATAAAATGAATTTATAGTATAATATAAAAGAGAAAGATAATTATTTGATACAATATAAAAAAAATCTAAATAATAAAAACTTATGAATTATTAAATAATTTTAAAAAGCCTTAAAAATATAGACTGAATATTTTTAAATTTTAAAAACGGTGTGTTTGTTTGTGGGTTTGGATTTTTTTTGAATAGTAAAATATTATTGTGGGTTTGAATTTTTTTTTAATAGTAAAATATTAAATTTGAATAGTTATTTGATATGATATTTTAAATATAAAATAAAATTGTAATATAATATTAAAAAAAATAATTATTTAATGTGATATTTAAAAAAAAATGAAATTTAAATAGTAAAAAGTGTGATAAAATTCATAAAAGAACACAACATAAAGTCTTGAATATCCTCATATCTTAAATAAAATTTTCAATGCACCTAAATTTTAAAATGTCCAGCAAAAGTTTACCTGATTGGATAGACCCCTGAAAGGCTATATATAAAGTATCAGCTTCGCCTCACCCACGCCGCCGAGCGCCGCCGCCGGGTTCGGAAAGGAACTATAAAGCCGAGGCCAGTAGGGGCGGCGATAGATTTCATGCACTACCCATCGACGGAATCCATATCGAGTAAACACAATTTATAAACCTGGAAGGAACAAAATCAGATCAAATGCAAGGGATTCACTGTAGCTGAGCGAAAAGGGCGTGAGAGAATTTCAACTCTTCGGAACTCGGAACTACTACTAACATTCTCCTTCCTTCATTCAGTTCATATCCACTGTTGAAATTTTTACTATTTTACCCTTCCACGGAAGATCTTCTCTGTCCAATTTACCCTTCCGTCTTCCATTTCTCCGTTTTGTGTTTCTAATAGAGAGTAATTGTGGAGTAATTGGGCGAGGAAGTATGCGAAGCTGTAAATCTGCATTGCTTCTCCGGCGATTATTGTCTCGGACCACTCCCAGCTATGGCTGCAGGCGTCTTGCGTCTCTGTCCGGGACTCCGCTTGTTGATGATTCTGATAATTTAGTCGGTTTTCGCAACCCACTTCGATTTTTTTGCTAGATGCTTTGTTTACTACATCAATAGTTAGAGAAATGGAGTTTTAAAATTTTTTTCAGGTGTTGGTTGAAGGTGGAGGTAATTCGAGAACCGCAATTCTGAATAGGCCACATTCTCTGAATGCTATTAACACCGCCATGGTTTGTTTCTGTGTATCCAGCAATGTTATAATCAGTGTGTTGATTGAATGTACCTTGGTTCTGTGTTTTTTAAGCCAAAACCTTGGCTTGACTGTATCTATAAATTGCTTGCTTTAAATTAGCAGAAAATATAATCTATTTGTTTAGGCTCAAGTTTGAGATATCTTGAATACTGAAATGTTACTTAATAATCAATTCAATTCTTCGGTCTCATAACTACATGATATTTAAATCTATGTGCATAACAGGTAGACAGGCTTCAATCGTTGTACAGAAGTTGGGAAGAAGACCCTGACGTTGGGTTTGTAGTTTTGAAGGTTGTCTTTTTACCTCTCAAATCACTTTTTTTTTTTTTTTTTTCATTTTTCTGTTTTTGCCTAACATATGGTTGGAAATTTTTAAAGGGTAGAGACAAGGCATTTGCAGCTGGTGGTGATATTGTGTCCATTTATAATATGCTGAAAGAAGGTAGAATTATAATTTCATAACCCTGTATGGACATGTGTAATATGTGATACATTGAAAACCATTGCATCACTACCTCTGGGACATTGCTATGGTCTATCTCCGGAAGTTAAGTCGTACATGTTTGTCTAGAGTACCCATCATCACTCATTGCTCCACTTATTTCTCATGTTTTTGCTTTATTCAGTATTGCGATTTTGTTTGATTGCTGGATTATTCAGCTAATGAATGTGTCTGTGTGGTTTCTTCTATATGCATTATAGTCAAGGGTTCTATTTCGGTAGGATGCAAATACTTTTTATTAACTGTTTTATGTTAATACTTTTGGGTTTGGTAATAAATAAAGGTCATAACTTCTAACTGAGAATAATTTTGTCTGCTGTCCTTGCCCCTTCTCTTATATTCATTCCATCAATTTTGTAAAAATAGTTATAGGTTATTGTTTCGATTCATGCAGGGAATCTAGAAGCTTGCAAACATTTCTTCTGGACAATATATAGTTTTATATACTTTCTTGGTACTTATTTGAAGCCACATGTGAGTATCTTTTAGCTCATGATTGTTTTGTATATTAATTAATGTTGCAGTATCGATCATCCTCTTTAAGATCATGTAATTTTGATACATATATATTGGTTAAAAAAAAAAGTTGTAAATCATTAAGATAAATTAGCCGGTTGTGACTTCCATATCAAACTCTGTTTATATCTTCATGCCTTATGCACCACCAAATAGTAAAATTATTTGTTCAGTGAGTCATTGTTTTCACCAAATTATAAATTCTTTTGTGTAGTTACTCTTTGGTCACTAATGTTTCTCAGACAGGCCTTTGTTGGCTTGCTAATTAATATTCTTATTGCAGGTGGCTCTTTTAAATGGAATTACGATGGGTGGCGGTGCAGGGATTTCGATCCCAGGAACATTCCGGATTGCAACTGATAAAACTGTATGCTCTCTATATACCCCCCACACTGAATACTTTTGATTCTTTGCAGTATTTCATTCTCTATTATCAGGATTGTGGTACGTAGGTTGGAATGTTCCAATCCTAGAATTAAATTTTAAGAATAAATGCATAAATGCAAACCTATATGATCTGTTCAGCTGGTGCTAATCCTAGCCAGGAACTTATATTATTAAAATAAAACATGCGAAACAAAAAACAACACACTAAGGTAAGTCTGAGGTTCTCTCTTGAAACACAAACAGGGCTTTCCTGTACACGCTGCTAATTATCAAAAAGAAAGCTAGATTACATGCAAATTCTTCAAAATGGTATTTACTTGTGTAAAGACATGTCTATTTCCAGTTGGTTATTTCTTTGTCTGCCCTCCGATTTGACTCAACTGTATCAATCTCGCTCGTCGCATTGTATCGCCAATTCTGTTTAATTGCTGTTAGTGGTTTTGAGTGCAATGCTATTTTGTTGAGAAAAGGGGCTTTCTGCTCAAATTTTGTGTAAGTTGACGATGGCATATACACTGAACAACAGGATAAAGTATTTTCTGTACACCTGAACTAGCTCTTTGCAATTACTGCAGATCTTTGCCACACCCGAGACATTAATTGGGTTCCATCCTGATGCAGGAGCTTCTTTCTACCTTTCCCACCTTCCTGGCTATTTGGGTATAATATGTTGCTTCATTGATAACAGTTTTGCAGTATATAATAGTGGAAGGCTCTCTAAATAGTTATGGATGATCATCTGGATTTTCACTCAGCTTGTCTTGGGTTTAGCAATACTGTTCTCAACTTCAATTTTGTGTGATTATACCATTGAAAGCACATCACAAAAATTAGTTTCTGCTTTTGCAATTGCTCCCTTATTTTATAACTTTTGCTCCTAATTCACAGTCTTGTTTCTTATGTGCTCATTTAAACATACAATCTCGAGCTTCTTTTTATTTGATGAAGTTTTTTTTGTTTCTAACTCGGTTTTTTGTCCCGATGAGATTACTCTATACCGAAGAGGAGCTGATAATGCCTTTTACATCTTTTATGTGTTTCCAGGAGAGTACCTGGCTCTTACAGGGGACAGACTAAATGGTGCAGAAATGCTATCCTGTGGGCTTGCTACGCACTTCACTTCAATAACGGTTTTTCATGCCAACACAATTGCTTTCCATTTATTTTGGGTTGTATTTTTCCTCAAATGATCATTCATCCTCTTTTCAGAAACTTCCTTCAGTCCAAGAAAAGCTTAGGAATTTGGTCACTGATGATCCCTCGGTTATCGAGGCTTCTTTGGGCAACCATGGAGATGTTGTCCAGCTTGATAAGGCAAGCGTGATTCACAGGTACAGCATTGCAATTATAATGGTCAATCTTAGATCCATACCTTTTCCGCTTAGGATTTGATGTATCAGCTGACGTGCTGATAATCTCTTCAACTCTCTTGAACAGGATTGAAACTGTTGACAAATGTTTTTGCCATGACACAGTGGAAGAAATTATTGAATCCTTGGTAAGCATGCAGCCTCAGGAGAGTATCTGCAACCATACATTGTAATTTCTTCTCGTTTTATTCTCTGAAATACTGTGTAAAGTTTTGGGCAGTAACTGGTTTGGGTACATAAATTCTCTAGGAAGAGCAGGCTGCGAAAACAAATGATAAATGGTGCATCTTGACTTTGAAGAAACTTAAAGAAGCTGCACCATTGAGCTTGAAGGTTTCTTTAAGATCTGTAAGTCTTCAGTTACACACACTCTGTTGCATCTCAAATATCCTCAGCCTCTTTCTACTTAAATTTGAGGGATTCTAGTTGTAAGATATCTAATAAATTGAGATCTTATTTCTCTTCTTGCAGATTCGAGAAGGCAGGTTTCAGACTCTTGATCAGTGCCTTATTCGCGAGTATAGAATGTCCTTACAGGGAATTTCTGGGCAAATAAGTGGAGACTTCCAAGAGGTACAGCTTTCCATAACATAGCCTCTCCCTGAGGATTGCTATTTTAACTCGGTCTTGAAATGATGATCTCACAAGTAACATCTCCTGTTTTCAGGGGATTCGAGCAAAGCTGGTGGATAAAGACTTCACACCAAAGGTAAACTTGTTTGACCTATTCCCATCCTTTCAGTATAATGAAATTTTATCATCTCCATGTATTAATTCAAAATATCTCTCCGAAATTGCAGTGGGATCCTCCTAGTTTAGAGCATGTGTCTCAAGACATGGTTGATCAATACTGTACACCTCTGTCTTCATCCAAACCGGACCTCGAACTACCTACAATGCAGCGAGAAGCATTCACCTGAGCACTAGCCAAACAGGTGATCAATTATCTGCTCACTTTTGGCCTTTTTAAGTTTAAAGCCAGATGACAACAGGATCAGCTATCAATGCATGTTTTTTCGATTGAGTATAAGACATGCTTTGTTGAACAAAATAGCAGCAATCAATGACTGATCACCAGTCTGAAGATGATGAAAATTATCATTATACTTATACCTGGAGAACTGTTGTATACTTTTACATGCATATTGTTGGTGCTTTTGCCGAATCTCCATTGATGGAGAAGTTATGATCCACTGTAGCTTCTGACCTTAATCATCTTTTTATGGGTTGGGACTCGGTTTCCTCCTTATTCTTTGAAATACACTACTTGTGTGTGTGTGTGTGTATTGTGTATACTAACAAACACAATATAAGCCAATTTAGAAGGATCAATGCAACCTAATATGAAAGAACCCCAAAATAAGGGTGGATGGTAGATGGTAACAGTAACACCAGATTTCATTGCCCTATAGAAAATAGATAGGCAGGCAGGCAGCAAATGTGAGTTGGCTAGTGCTTAGAATGTGAAGTAGCCTAATGGGTTGAATTCATAGCCAAAGTTGTAAGTAAGTAAGTATTAACCAACTGTGGATATTCATTCCATTGTGAATTCACCTTTCCCCTCCCTGCTTGCTGCTGCGTAAACATAACATAACATTAACATATTGTTGAATGACCTCAGATAAAGAAACTACTATTAATAGTCAGATAGATATCATAAAATAATTCCATTAGTCAGATAATAATTGGCGACTTCTGTCCTGTAAGGCAGGGCAGGGCAGGGCAGGGCAGGGCAGGGCCAGTAGCTAATAATAAGTAGTCCATGTCCATCAACAACAAGTGGTTGCTGGTTGAAATAACAATCACATCAAACATGTATTATGTTGTCTGTGACTGTCATTTCTTTCACAAGCCAGCCAGCCAACACACTTAAAGGGTGTGTTTGTTTGGCTGTTTGGATTTTGAGTTGAGATTTGAATAGACGGAAGCTTGTGACTTTTACTACCAACAAAAAAAAAAGTCTTTTGCTACAAATTAGGCTACTGTCACAATATGTCGTAACAAATATTATTTTCAGTTACGAAAATTATTGTTGCAAATAACATTTCGTTTGGTTAACTTTCATATTTATTTGTTATGATTATTGATTCGTAACTATTATAATTAGAACGAAATATCCTGTACAATAAAAGGAATAAGGGTATGGGTGTAAACTACGGGGTCAATAGATTATAGTGTAAAATAAAATGTCACGATAAAATAAATTATTGTGGGAGAATGTTTTTTGTATTGGTTTTTTCTTTTTGGGAAAAATTACAAATTCGTGAGTAAATTGATTACTCACGAAATTTCGTCTGTAAGTATTTTGTTAGTAAATACCTCGTAAGTAATTATTTATGATATTATTCATGAAATTCTATTCGTGAGTAATTTACTAACGTAATTACTCATGGAATTTGTTTGTAAATAAATTTACTTACAAACCAAAATTTGTAAATAATTCCGTGAGTAAAAAATCAACAAATTCCCTTATTTGCAACAGAATGGTTCTGTGAATAATTTTGTGAGTAATTTACTCACAGAAATTTCCCTTGCAATATGTCAATATGATGTTTGAGATGGAATAATTTCTATGAGTAATTTCTTGAGTAATTTTTCCAACCCCCAAAAATTTATATTTTGATTTATCCATACATGTCACAAACATATATTATGACAATACAAGTTCAAACCATAAAGTAAATCGAACCAAGTCGAATATGCAATAAATAAAATACGATCGAATCACACGATATTTATAAGCATAGTTCTGTAATCGATGGATACCAAAAAAATAGTAAACATAACCATACATTTGAAATAGTAGAATCCGTACAATATTAAAGTTCAAATACTTAGTACCAAAATCAACAAACAAGTGGCGCACTAGAATCACCATCGGGGTTGTGGCGGTCCGGTCGGACATTCATCATCTTAAGCTGCTGCATGATCGTTAGGTCGTAATTCTCAAAATAATCAAACCGTTCCTCCAAGAGCGTTAGCCGATTGTCAGTCGTTGGTGCACTAGGCGTACGACCATCATTAGTGAATGAGTTGCGATCCGGTGGCACTGTCGATGCTTGCGACACAAGTCCAAATATCCTCTTATTCTTATCCCGATGCACCAAGAAAAATAAGGCATCATCATAGCTATACTACGTATTGTCAAATTGAGACATCACCTCCTCGATGGCATCCATGCTTTCCTAGAAATCGTAAATGAAATATGTTATATATATAGTTTGTATTAAATGAAAAGTATTTAGTAAAATATCAATTGATTGACGTACTTTCAGACGGTCTATCTTCATGCTGCAATAATTTTTGCCGTCATGGTATCTCGTATGCGTCCACTCATATGTTGTCCATTTCTCGAGAAGCTACACTTATAATTTGTTTGGTGTTTAAATAAAATAGTTTAAAAATATTTAAAATTAATATGTAAAACACAAATTTACCTTCTCCATGAATGATTGAGATCCACTAGTATGCGTGGCCTCAACAAAACCGTTCAGATTACCGTCTCGTCTATTGAATTTTGTTGGCATTGACTTCTTAATGGCATCCTGGGAAGTCCATTCATTCCTCCATTTCTGCAGCATATTGGCGGAAACGCTCTTGCTGATCTTCTCTTGTCCAGAACGTATTTCACAACGTATTTCATACAACCAGTTGTTGTATGTCTCACAGGATTTTTTCTCTTAGTAAGAGTGCACGATCCCATGACATCCGGGTTACCACTTAATGTATTTTTGCAAATAATAAATTTAATCATTACAAATTAGCATAACATTCGATGGTACAACGTAATAAGTGTGCTTTAATTATATTACTTTCATTTGCTCTTCATAGAACTGTTGTGTCGCTAGCGGCACATGTGTCGATGTATGGCTCTCGGAGCTAATTTTTGTTGTGAATATCTGGCGTAATTTTCGCGTGGCACTACTCGGCCAAAATACGTTGTTTGTAATTCATAGCTACAAATTTAAGAAATAATTGGTAACTTGAATGTAGAATTACACATAAACAGTCTCGGCACATACTTTTTGTTTGAGCGCACCTTAATCTCAATTAAGCCGTCATTATCATGTCTCCCTGCCGCAGATTGTTTAGACCTAGGACTAACTCCTATTTTCAAGAGCTTTAATTTACATATTTGAAAATACTTCAACGGTGAGTAGTACAATATATTCTAACCCGATGTATCGCCTTGCGTGGCCCCAAGTGAAACAACCGTTGTTGCATCTGCTGATGTTGATGTCGTGGTACTTGAAGAGAAATTATTAACTGATATTACTGAATGATCTATTGACATACGAAACACTAAATCTACATACCAATAGATATACCTGCCACGTCCTCAACCCGATCCTCTTCCACAACATGCTGCAAGCACATGGCAGTTCGAGCAAGCTGACAAATTCGTTGCTGGCGTAACATCTTCTCTTCTTCATGAAACATCTGCATTATAGAAGACATGTAATTTAATTTATAATATATTAGTAAAAAAAAAATTATTAAATATTGGAGGACCTATTCATCATACACATCATCATCTTATTCCTACTTATATCATCATCTATCTATCCAGGCAATCACATGTTCCATTCTAATCTTAATTTTACTAAATCAAAAACATTATTATGTAGAACAAAACATTTACCAATCGTGTAGGGTTAATATGGCTATGAAATTATTCCATAAAGTGAACAAGTGCTCTTAATATTTATCAAATATTTGAACTAGAATATTGGGGGTGATTATAAACTTTAATACCAGAAAATATAAGATCCCATCACATAATTGAAATGCATTATTCAAATGTTACCTCATTAATTTTATTGAACTATTTATTTGAACATTTAAAAAGAAATAGAATTAAGCACATCATATGCAAGAAGAGTACACACGTATATATACATATATAGCTCAGGATTTTGGCACAAACTGTGAGCCACAACGCTTCTTGTCACCATCTTCTCTTTGACGACAATCCCAGCTTATGTTTGTTGCAATTGCGAAAAAAAATCTATAAAAATAATCGGCTATTAGCCATGCCATTTCCGACCAACTTATAGAAGATCTACTGTAAGTAAGCTGAATACATAATTTAACCTTAAGAAAGTTCAACGATTTTGTGCTTATTCTGTAAGTAACTATTAACCTTAAGAAAGTTCAACAATTTTCTGCGTATTCTGTGAGTAACTATTAACCTTAAGAAAGTTCAACGATTTTCTGCGTATTCTGTGAGTAACTATTCAAGAAATCGATTTCGTGTGTTGTGAATACCCATCCGTAATTCCTCACGAAATTAATTCCGTAAGAATTTTCTTGAATAAAATGTAGTTTTAATAAACAAGAGTATGACTTTAGTGATGGTCAAATTCTGATTTTTCAGTTCAGTATACTGATAATATCGAATCATATTATATACCGTTAATTAATTTTTTTTTTTTAATGTTAAAAACTCATACCGATATCGTATCAAAAATTCGGTATGACATATATATACAAACACCATACCGATAATTTGGTAATACTGAATTATAATTTAAGTATCAATTTATATTGTTTCGTACCGAAATAAAAAAAAAAAAATTTTGTATTAATATATCAAATTATCAATAATACCCATATAATAATATAACGAACACCAAAATAGTATTCGATATTTTATTACCGAGATAATTTTGATATTTAGATATATATATATATATATATATACTAAAAATATCTACTCGTGTATCTTCGTGGTACCTAACTTTTTGGTATATTAAAATTTTGATATAAGTAACCGATATTGGCCGTGCCTATTCCATGAAGTTAGCATCTAAGGATTTTTTTTAGTATGGTATAATGGTATTTTTTTATATTTTTTTCCACCCCTAGGTATGATTAAATATATTATTAAATGTAATTAATTACCTTTTTAAGGTGTGTTTGTTAATTTGTGGATCTGAGAGTTGAGTTTTAATTTTTATTTTTATAATTGGGTGTGTTCTTTTAGAAAGAATAGATATAAGCTTTTTTTTTTTTTTTTTCAAAATATTAATATATTATGTATATTTATTATATTTATATTTGTTTATACAATTCTTCATACTTCATGATCAAAAAATACTCATTTAAATTATCTTACAAAATAAACACACATAGTTATATTATGTGATATAAATATATATTAATATGATATTTTAAATACTCCAT